ATCTTGAATTCAGGACGCAGGTGTTTCTGGTTGTAAGACTGCAGGGACCCAGGGATCCACTGTTGGGACAGAAACCCAGAGTGTGCTAACAGGGAGCCCACAGCATGCTTCTGACAGTGGACCAGGGTCCTCTGTGAGTTCCCCAGAGACAAATATCTCAGGATGTCAAGACGTGCCTGTGTCCTGTGGCTCTTTCACTGTGGGAGCCAACCCAAGTGTGAGAGCCCCACCCCCACTGCTGTGCAGAAGAGGAGGCCAGGCTGGAGAGTCTGCAGTCTGAGGCCTGCTCGCTCAGATGAAAGTCCTCTTCCCCCCACCCCATCCTCTCCCCGAGATGCAGGACCACCCTTCCCCAGGAAAGAGAAAAATGAATTAAAAAAAATTGTCTGAGACTGTCAGTTTGAGCCCTTGTTAAATGTATTAACTGCAACAGCTGTTTGCTGCACCACACACACGCATAACATTTGATCATTAGGTATTTTCCTCCTCAAACTTAACACAAGTCCCCCTGGTGATACCATGCTGTGACATACGTGTCAACGACACTATAATCCCCAAGCCCGCAAATGGACAAACCTGTTGAAAGTCTGGCTAGTTCTTTACTTGTACTCTGTTCTCACTCATCAAGTATGTATCACACACCTAGAGGAAAGGTTTGAGTTTTCCTTCAATGCTGCGGTTTTCTCCAGGAGTCAAATCTAAGGTATTCTTGTCTCGTTCAACCATACAAGACACCTTGTTGGTCAACGTTATGGAGATGACCACTTTTATTAGAACGTGGCCGCTGTAGAGCTAAAAAAATGACTCAAATCCCTATGTACATCCAAAAACTTCTCCAGTAGGGTAAAAAGGGAAGCCACCAACTGGGAAAAAGTATTCGGTAATAACATAACAGATAAGGGACTTATATCCAGAATTTATGAAATACTTGAGCACCACAACGAGATAAAGGTAAATAATCCAATAGAAAAATAGGCACAGGATATGAACAGGCACTTCACCGAAGACGACATTCAGATGGCTAACAAACACATGAAGAAATGCTCAAAATCCCTAGCCCTAAGAGAGATGCAAATTAAAACAACTATGAGATATCATTTCACCCCAGTCAAAATAGCAAAATGTAACAGAAGAGCAAGCAACAAATGCTGGCGAGGTTGTGGAGAAACTGGAACCCTGATTCACTGTTGGTGGGAGTGTAAAATGGTGCAACCCCTGTGGAAAGCAGTATGGCGCTTTCTCAAAAAGTTGCAAATAGACATACCATTTGACCCAGCAATTCCACTACTGGGAATATACCCTGAAGAGACCATAGCTGACATCCAAGCAGATATATGCACACCCATGTTTATTGCAGCTTTGTTCACAATAGCAAGGAGTTGGAAACAACCTAAGTGCCCATCAACAAACGAATGGCTAGAGAAGCTGTGGTATATTCGCACAATGGAATACTATGCTGCATTAAAAAACAAGGAACTCATGCAATATTATTCAAAATGGTTGACTCTGGAGAACATTATGCTGAGTGAAATATCCCAGTCACAAAAGGACAAATATTACATGATGCCACTGTTGTAGAATGGGACTGTCCTTAGGGTTGGGGAGAGACTGAGTAAGATGGGTTCAATAATGTATACTGCACTGAAACAGAGGAGGGAGAAAACTGTTTAAAAGAGATATATAACTAGGTATTTCTGTCATCACAGGAGACTAGAGCGAGGGCTACATGGTGGAGGGGACCTGGGGGAGGGTTTGTAAAACAGTGAAAGAATCTTTTAAAAAAATGTATTTGAATCTCCAAAGAGAATTGGCTCTGAAGGGGTGGAGGGTGTGTGTGTGTGTTGCTAATGGTGGGGAGGCCAGGAAGAAGAGTGTCGTCTGGAGTACACTGTCCTGCACTGAAGAAGCAACCTGCCTGAACCTGCCTGTGTTCTTCCTGATCTCAGATGGTTCCCACCCCAAGTTGTAGTCAGCTGCTTCCCTGACAGGGAGCTCTTCTGGCCTAGTGGTAAGAAGCTGCACTGCAAACCCCAAGGGAAGTGGTTGAAATCCTAATCCACCAGCTGCTCCTCGCGGGAAGGATGGGCCGTGGTCTCCTGTGGGATGAACAGCCTCTGAGAATCCACTGGAGGGTCGGCAGTGGGTCAGTCCTGACTTGGTGGTACCACTTCCCCAATAAACCACATAGTTGTGATTTTGGTCTATGACTGCTCTGTGGTCATTGCAAAAAATTAATGGAAACTAGACAAAAAGTGCTGAAGAAACTAGGCCAAAAAAAAAGCCTGATACAGGCTATGGTCTTCGCAATCACTTGTTATGCATCAGAGAGTTGGACAATGACCAAGGAGGATAGGAGGAGAATTGATGCCTTTGAGCTGTGGTGCTGGAGAAGAGTATTGAGAATACCATGGACTGCTAGGAAAACAAACAGATTTGTCCTGGGAAGGGTTAAACCGGGTGGCTCCTTGGAGGCAAGGATTCGGAGGCTCCGTCTAACATACTTTGGACATGTTGTGAGGAGAGACTGGTCCCTGGAGAGGGACATCATGCTTGGGAGGGTGGAGGGACAGTGCAGGAGAGGAAGGCCCTCTATGAGGAGGATTGATTGAGTGACTGGGATAATCGGGATGGGAGTGTCAGAGATGGTGCGATTGGCACAGGACCGAGCGGAGTTTAGGGCTGTTGTACATAGGGTCACTATGAGTCACAAGCGACTCAACGGCACATAACAACAACAACAACAACAGACAAAAAGTAGAGGTGGGTAATCACTAGTGTCCACAGTAATGAAAGGAGAGAAGGACTTCTAATTTCCACTTTGGCTCAAGTTAGAGAAGAAGCATGAATGTGGACAAAACTTATGGATACTGTTAACCACCCCTTCCAAACAGACTATATTGTCCGCACTGGCATTAGGTGTTTGTGCCTCATGGTCTTGTAGCTCCATGCTCTCTACTGTGTGCAGAAATGTACAAACAAGGACTCAGACATAGAGCACAGCCTTGCCCCTGAGCCGGAGCCCAGGGAGCTGGACCCACACAGCCTTCCTGCCCAGGTAACCATGGCGGTCTGTCTTATCTTCCAGATCGCCAACTCACGCCAGCCTTCTGTAGAAGTGTGCTCCTTCAGTGTTAGAGACGGAATGGTGTCTGACAAGGAAAGGTGCTGCAGATCCAAAGGTTCGAATCCACCTGCTGCTCCGTGAGAGACAGATGGGCAGTCTCTTCCCATGCGGGTGATTTACTGCCTCTGAAAACCCGCTGGAGGGCAATCTATGAGGCATTTCAGACTCGACATCTCACAACAGATCAGATCCTTCCAGAACACGATAACGAGAATACCTTGCTTTCTGAAAAACCCTAAAGTTTTTGTAGACCTATTAGAATTTTCAAGAATGTACATTTTATGTGACTGTTTTGATGCTTATAATTATGTTGTGATAAGAAGGACCCTTGTTTTTCCAGGTATTCTCTCATTTACATATTTAAGACAGGGAGCTCTCGTGACCTAGTTGGTGAGGAGTTGGAATCCACCAGCTGCTCTGAGACAAAAAATGGACAATCTCCTCCCTTGTGATTACAGTCTCTGAAAACCTGCTGGTGGATCAGCAAGGAGTGAGAGTGTGTGAACCCTAAGAAATCCTATATAGCAAGTGATTGAAATCTCTGCCTACTAGCAAAACAGTGCCACTTTGTTCTTTGAGAGAGCTTTATAATCTCTGTTATTTCACTTTACTCCAAGTACTGTATTTGAGACCACCTTTGGACTGAGTTTGGTGTCAGATAGTTAAAGCGAACAGACCCTTTTTTTAAAGCTGTGGGTAAGATGCAGTTGTTACACTTCAGAATAAACTGCAAGATGAACAGCGTCCATTCGTTGGGCGCAGTCGCCGACTACCAGCGGGGACATGTTTGCTGCAGGAGGAAAGGACCAGGGTGCCCACTGGCCGCCTCTGGACATCATCTGTGTCCTTCCCCACTCTTCCTGCACCACCCTCTTTCTTCTGCCCTTAACTATAATAATAATAATAATTATTATTATTATTACAGTTTTTAAAAATAAAAACTATCGGGTCTCATTGCATGAACAACAGATTAGCATCTGTTAGCGTTCCTCTCCCAATGAAAGCACTTTGCATCTGAATTGCTATGGAAATAAACACACGTTAGATCTTTGGGGCATCTGGGTTAGGTTGCCGCAGGGAGTCCGGTGAGCTTCGATGACTCTTAGGTGATGGCTGCACACGGTAGCGATCGATGATCGATCGCGGACCCCAAGAATCAGGAGGGGCCGCGGGTAGCCAAGGGCCTTTGTTGCCGGGAGACAGAAGCGGAGGGCGGCCCCGTCTCCTGGCGGTGGCAGCGAGGGAACTACACTCCCCAGAAGGCCTTGCGCCCGCACGCAGGCGCTCCAGCCAATGGGAGCCAGCAGCGGGCGCTTCGGAGCGGCGCGGGGCGGGCCTTCCGGCGGCCCCATTTGTGGCGTCGGGCCGCGCCCGCCCGCTGGCCCGCTACCATGGTGACGTAACCGCGGGCCGGGCAGGAGGACGCGTCGTCCCGAGCTCACAAAAGGCGGCGATCCTGCGGCCTCGGGGGGTGACTCTGTCCCGGGGCTCACCTCCGGCGTGTCGAGGGGGGGCGGTCCTGGGCGCTGCCCTCCGTCCGCGCAGGCCGGCCGTGCGCGTGCCCGCGCCGCAGCACCATGGCGGCCGCCGCGTCCGGAGACCCCGGTCCGGTGAGTGCGGCCGAGGCCCAGAGGCCCCAGCCCCGGTCGGGCCCCTTGCAGCCCGGGCCTGCGGATGGACTCGGGGCGGCGACCCGGTGTGCTGGGGAGAGAGGGGCCGCCGGCAGGGGGCGAGGCTGCAGGGGGGGCGGCTGAGCCTGACAGCTGGCGATCGGGTCCAGTGTCCGCAGGGGCTAGAGTTCAGATCCGCCCCAGGGGGGTGGTGACCGATGACCAGGGGCCGATGACAGGCGCCGGGAGCGCAGTGGCCCATCCCGATGACCCCCAGCCCCGGGGCCGCCTTGCTGGACAGCACAGCGAGGCCCCCGCCGTGTCCGGTGGCCGCAGACGGGGCCGTGGAGTGGAGCCAGCTTGAGCGGGTGCGGGACACCCCCCCCCCCCCCCCCCGAGATCGCAGGCCCTGCAACCTGCCCTCCGCTGCCCTTCTGGCGTCTGACACCGCCGGCCACTGACTTTGTGCATGGGGCTCGGAGGAGGGGGAGGGTCAGCGACAGAGAGGAAGACCGTCTGTCGGGTGGATGGACACCACCGTGACGGCCAGCAGCGGGCTCGAGCGTGTAGATGCTGGGGATGGCCGGGATTCAGATCCGCTCTTCATGGGGTTGCTGCAGGGGTCCCTAACAACCGCCAACCCTTCACGCCCTTGGACCCCAGAACCCTGAACACACCCCAGGCTCAAGGGTAGTAAATGCAAGTGAGGGACCCCAGAGAGAGAGAGAGAGAGGGGTTTACCTGATGTTTTAACCATGGTGAAATGAGGGGAGGATTGCCCCAGGCACACACCCTAAAACGGATGCCTGCAGAGTTTCTATCCGCTCACTGCTGGGTTTCCAAGAAACCAGTGGATCTCCAAGACTGGAAAGCCGCACAGGACAGAGGCCAGTCCTGCCTTCCTCCCAGGAGCTGCAGGTTTATCTGACCTGCAGGAGGTTGGCAGGGCAGCTCCTTGTGCGCCAGGCCACCAGGGGTCCTGGGCTTGTGCTTTTGTGCTGTTGATTTGGAACTGACCCTCCAGCAGCGGGCTTTCAAAGGCAGTTCATCACATGTGAGGGGCTTGCCCCCTCCTTCTCTCTTAGGGACCTGTAAACACACCTGCAGGGGACCAGCTGAGCTCCAGGAAGCACAGGTGTCCTTTCTCAAGGGACAGGAGTGAGGCCGGAAGGGCCACGGGTGAAGCTGAGTGTGTTTTGGCGGTGATGAGGGTAGTGGGAGTTTGGGGTGGGGAGGAAGGTGATCAGGTGCCAGTCTCAGGTTCCCTGGTGGCTGCAGCCTGGAGACCCAGCTGGGTGAGAGCAGGGTGGTAGGGAGAGCAAGCCCTGCCGTGGTCCTTGGAGGTCAGGTGCCTGGACACTGTGGTGGCTGGAGGAGTGGAGGGATTCCGGGTCTCCCTGCCTGTCAGTTGTTGTGGTGAGATTCTCTGTGACACACACACATCATCTCAGTAATCTGTGCGTATAGTCAGTACACAGAAAATACCGTCAATTCTTCCCCTGTTTGTTGTGACAGCCTTTCCCAAGTCATCCCGGCGGCCTGAATCCCGCCTCAAGTCAGCCCCTCTTTTTGCGACCCCAGCCCATGGCCGCTGATGGCTGTGCGTGTGCTTGCTTCAGGTCAGAGAGATCGCGCAGGGTCTCCTTTACACCTGCTTTGTTTCACGCTGCACATTTTCAGGATTCACCTGTGTTTGATGGACATTAGGACAGACGTGGACATCGCACCTGTCTGTTCCTTTGTGGTGGCTCAGCTGAGTCGTCTGCACCCTTTGGCTTGTATGAAGGGTGCTGTGATTACATTTCTGTTTGCATGGCCCTTTCGTTTCTCTGGGAATGAGCTTCGCATTAGGATTGCCGGGTCCTATGGCTAACACGTTCCTCTCTTTGAGGCCCTGCCTGCTCTGCCGCAGCGAACGTCCCATTTCCCATTCCCACTCTCAGTGGCCAGGGTCCAGTTTCCCCACACCCCCGCCAGCCCTGGCTGGTTTGCTGTCTGTTGGGCCGTTGCCATCCAGAAGAGGGAGAGGTAGTTTTTGATGTGCAGTGAATGAAGTTGAGCATCATCTTAGGTGCTTCTTGTCTGTTTGGATACCCTCTCTGATAATGTAGCTGTTCAAATTATTGCCCATTTTGCTTTGTTTTTTTTTTAACTAGTATTTTATGATGTTTTCAGTTTTACACAGCAGTTTAGATTCTCATTAAAAATACAGTATGAAGGGGAGCTCTGGTGGCCTAGTGGCAAGGAGCTGCAACTACAATCTCAGAAGGCACCCAGTTCGAATCCACCAGATGATCTGCCAGGGAAGGAGGGACGATCTCCTCCTGTACCAGTCAGATCCGATTTGACAGTACATGCACACAAAAATAATAAAAATAAAAATAAATTAAAAAATACAGTATGAGACACCATGGGATTGAAAGATAGAAACACAATGTATACAAACTTTGTAAGCAAACCAATATTAAAAAAAAATTCTACATAAACTGTTCCATGACATTGACTACATTCCAGAAGATTCTTAGCTCTGGTTGGTTCCATTTCTGTCAGTCTAGTTTCCCTACCCCTTCTTTACCTTTTCTCTCTCTCTCTCTTTTTTTTTTTTTTAAGTAAATGTGGACCATTTAGTCTCCTTGATGATTTCTTCTAACGGAACACAGTTGATATACTTTGTTTTGTCAACCAGTAGCTGCATGAGCACTGTCTCAGGGCTGTAGTCGTGAGAAGGCCCCATTCTCAGCGGAACCAGTTTGTACTGTGTTGTTTAAACACTTGGAGATGGGTTCCTCACTCTGTACGGTCCGTCGGCTGACCTGGCCCTGCCTTGAATGGTTAGAACGGTAGCCAGGAACCAGTGAGCTCTCTTTGCTGTCTCTGCTTCACCCCATCTCTTTTTTATATATCCATTTTTGGGGTTTTTTTTAAGTCGTAAAGATACAGTAAAGTTAGTCTCTTGATTACAGACATCTAGTTCAGGGACAGCTCCTACTGCCTTTTAATGACATGCAAATTTGTCATCACTCTCTGGATGCTTTTGTTCTTTTTTTGGCAAGTTGTGATTTGGGCAGAGGTTACAAAGTTCGATTTTATTTTCTTTGAACCGTTCATGCACATTTGCTCATGCGACTTTAATTGTAAAACCCAAAGTGCAAGCTCACTGTTCCCTCTTCCTTCCTTTAGTTGGTACCCTTTGTGCCTGTAGGATTTTCTTTCTGGGTTGATGGTGCTCCTTTGACCTCACGTGTGCGTTTGGCTGAACTTTGAGCCTTGGGGCCGAGCTCAGTCCCACGTTCCCGGGGCAACAAAGGGTCTCTGTCGGACTCCGAAGCCTGACTTTGGTTGTGTTTGTGAGTGTTGTCCTGTGTCTGCCCCCACTTTATCCAGAATCTTCTTCTGGGATCCCATTGAGAACGGCCGGTAGTGGTATCCCAGTGCCATCTGTCCATCTGTCTCCTTACCAGGATCGGGGGCCCTTTAGTCCTTGGGAATAATTCTTTCAGGACACCTTTGCCTGCCTTTCCCTTTTGTTGTTATGCCGCCCTTTTTTTTTTAATCTGGTTGTGGTTTTGCTGTTCCATTGTAGAAATGCCTGTGTGTGTATGTATGTATGTGTGTGTGTGTGTGTGTGTGTGTGTGTGTGTATAGTATTAGACTCTTAACGTGTGTGTGTGTGTGTGTATATATATATATAATATGGCTCCTAAAATTTTTCAATTTCTAGGTTGTCTGTTAAAATTATTGATAACATTTCACTCTGTGTTTTAGGTAAGTATGCCTGGAATTTTGGGTCTGCAGAGAGACACAGGTTTCGTTAGTCCACTCAGTGTTTGTCATTTCAGCATCTAGACTTGAAAGCTCACTGACTTGGGAGGGGAGCCAGTAGGAAGAGTCATTTTGGTTGAGGAGCTCAGGGATGGTGTTTTGGAGAGTTGAGGCCTGGAAGCATCACGGGGGCAGCTGGACACACAGGCTTAGAGTTCTGGGGAGGAATTCCGGATGGAGACGCTGCCCGGAGGGGCAGGACACTCTGTGGGCGGATGGAACTGAGAGTCACGCCTAGCGATGGGAATCCTGGTTACGAAGTGGATGCTGATGTGGAAGGGGAAGGTGAGGGCCTGTGGGTGAGGGTAGTGTGCGTCACGTACACAGGTGAGACAGGAGGGGCCCAGGCAGGCGACTGGTAGGTTTTGAGCTAAACCTCCCAAAAATACATGTTGGAGATCTGACCCCAGTCCCTCCAGAGGTGATCTCATTGGAGGGCAAGTTTTCTTGAGTAAGATTCTGTCAGTGTGCAGGAACGTAATCACCGCTGAGTTATAAAGTGCAGTCAGGGCTTCTGACCGTCTCAGAAAAGGTTCGTGACCACAGTAAACAGAAGCCAAGCAGGTTGCAGCCAGATCTGTTGCCCCTGCCAAGAGGAGCTAGGGCGCTGTGTCTGGCTCAGCAACAGGGGCTTCCCACGCTGTGGATGTGAGTCCCCCCTTGTCCCACCGCCTCAGTCTCAGCAGTCAGATGCAGGATTCTGGAGAGCTTCAGAAACTCAAATCCCTGCCTAACGGTTGCCCCTCAGTGGACTCTGAGAGGCTTTCGTCTTTTCCTCTCAGAGAAGCTGGTGGATTCAAACCACTGGCATTTGGGTTGGCAGCGCAGCTCCTTAGGCACGAGGCCACCAGAGTTCCCTCCACAGCAGCTTCGTGGGCACAGCGGCCACAGACAGCAGGCCTCGTGGTCAGGCCACCCCTGCATAGCCCTCCCCATACAGGATGTCACAGGATGTTTCGGATGCAGCTCCGTTTGGCACAGTAGTCTCTTTTTCCCTCCGGAGACTATCAGCAAACCAAGGAGCACTGGGGCTGGAAAAATGGCCCTGCGCTGACAGAGACCTTCCTTCAGAGTCAGGGTCCCACTTCTGAGCTCTTGGGTTCATTCAGATCATCCACTTGTTGTATTTCTGTGAACAGCAGCACTAGCTAAGACAGTGACCAAGACATAGCCGTGAGACAGACGTGCAGGCACGGGATATTAGAGGTGGAAGGACAGTGAGTTCACCGGTGAAACAGTGCTGTGCACGTTTACAGGACTGATGTGTGGCTCTGGAGTCTCGGGTGTTTTAAGCAGGCTGGTAGCTAAGCTCAGGAGCACAGATGATCTCTGGGCAGTCGTGAGACCAGGGTAGAGGTAAGAGCAAGCCCATATGAAGTCGCGTCATGGAAGCGTGATCTCAGGGTCTCCAGGGACTACATGACAGGAGGGTGCAGAAGTGGCCCTCAGGCCAGGCCCGCCGCTCAGCACTCCTCTGTCTGACCTGCCTGCCGGTGCTGCTGCCTGACTCAGCAGTCACTGAGGCCTGCTGCCTCCTCTCGGGGGGGCTGGGAAGGAGGTGGGGCAGGAGATAGTCGGGAGAGAAACGAGCTCGAGGTCCTAGGAGACTTGCTAACCATGGGGTGCACTGCTGTCCCGACAGGGCTGCGTCACCTTTGAGGATGTGGCCATCTACTTCTCCCCGGAGGAGTGGGGGCTCCTGGATGACGATCAGAGGATCCTCTACAACGATGTGATGCTGGAGAACTTCGCAATCATAGCCTCACTGGGTAAGACAGAGGTCCATTCCAGTCCCCCCACCTCCTGCTAGGGCCTCTCCACTCTCCTGACTCGTGTGCTGGAGACACCAGGGCAGAGCTGTGGACACTCTCCTGAGCGTTACACACCCCACTAGCCCTCCCACCCCAGCCCTAGAGGTGAGGAAGGAGTCCTGTGCGTTCCCCCTGCTTACCCATTGCCTGGTGACTTTCCCCTTCCCATGCTAACTCATCCTCCCTCCGGCCCGTGCCAGGAATTGCTGTCACATGGGCACCTGTCGTTGCTGGCCTGTTCTGTCTGTCTTTGGACCTTGTTTCTTGCAGGCCCTGCGGGTTTGCAGAAAGATCCCATTTGCCTTCATGGTGGACATGGCGGGGTGGTTTCAGAGGAGGCATGCCCCCCCACCCCCGGGCCACACCTAGGGATGGGCACAGTGCAGGGATGTGTCACACAGATCATGAACTGTCCTTTGTTGTTTGTGCTCGTGACCACACCTCAGTTCTCCCTTCCTCAGTCTGGACACTTGCTGGCTTGTCACTTCAGTTGTGACTCCTGGCCAGCCAGCCTTTCTGATCTCTACCTGGTACTGTTCTGTTTATAATTAATACCTGCTCTGCAGTGTTTTACAATAACAACTGAAGCATAATGTCCTGTGAAATGTTCTCATCTCCTTAAATAGTCCTTCAGTGACAGTTCCTCAAGTCCAGGGGCCTTTTCCTGGGCCTGGACACAGTCGGCCTTCTGTACAGCACGCACGTGTCACCTGTGAGCAGACAAGGTTCCCTTGTGGAAGGCGGATGGCAGGAGTGAGCTGGAGACCCTGCCGCTTCTTCCCATCCTGCCCCCCTTTATCATGTCTGTCATCTGATGAGAGCGTCCCTGTCGTGTGATAGTTAGATGACAACTATTGCAAGTGGCCCTTTCCGAATGTGCCTCCAGCCTCTCCTCCTCAGAAAGAGCCCAGGGGTGCATTTCCTGACTTGACTGACGCCCATTCGTGAGACCACCCCTCACCCTGATGTTGGTGTGTGTGTCACAGATGGCAGTCTTCCTCTGCTTCCAGGTCGCTGGCGGGATGTGACAGAGGCGGCTGCTTCTGAACAAAGTTTTTCCTTGGATGGAGGATCACACGACGGGACTCCACAGACAGGTCCATCCACCCACAAGGCTCACCCCTTGGAGATATGTGTCCCCGACTTTAGAAACGACAACCCGATCCCGTCCTTCCTTCTCCAGCAGCAGCCCACTTCCAGCAGTGTGACAGCGGGCAGCCGTACCCCATTTGGGGAGGCCTTCCTCATCGGAAAGACTCATCCCAAGGGGGTGGAGTTTGGGAAATCTCTGAGCAGCAAACACCTGCCGGGTCACCACCAGAGCCGTTTCCTGGGAAAGGGACTTTCTGAGCCCAGCAAGTTTGGGAAAGCAGTCAGTTTCAGTTACCGGCGCCAGCAGCAGCGAGGTCACAACAGAGAAAGGCTGTACGAGTGTGGCGAGTGTGGGAAAACCTTCACCCACCACTCCTCCGTCAGCAGACACCAGAGGATTCACACCGGGGAGAGGCCGTACGAGTGCCGGGAGTGTGGGAAGTCCTTCACCCACCACTCGTCCTACAGCAGACACCAGAGAGTGCACACTGGTGGCAAGACCTACGAGTGTCCTGAGTGTGGAAAGTCCTTCATTCGAAACTGTAGCCTCATCCAGCACCAGAGACTTCACACGGGAGCCCGGCCTTACAAGTGTGTGGAGTGTGGGAAAACCTTCAGTGAGAACTCCACCCTCATCCAGCACCGCAGGGTCCACACCGGAGAGAGGCCATACGAGTGCACCCAGTGTGGCAAGTTCTTCAGCCGGAGCTCCACTCTGAGCCAGCACCGGCGGTCCCACACGGGGGACCGGCCTTACAAATGCACCGAGTGTGAGAAGTCCTTCCGCCAAAGATCGGGCCTCATCCAGCACCAGAGGAGCCACATAGGCTCGAAGCCGTACGTGTGTGAGGAGTGCGGGAAGCCTTTCAGCCAGAGCTCGGGCCTCATCCAGCACCGCAGGGTCCACACCGGGGAAAAGCCCTACGCCTGCAGCAAGTGTGGGAAGTGCTTCCGACAGAGCTCCGCCCTGCGTCAGCACCAGACTGTCCACACGGGAGAGAGGCCTTACGAGTGTGGCGAGTGCGACAAGTGCTTCAGCCACAACTCTGGACTCAATAAGCACTGGCGAAGCCACACTGGGGTCAGCCTGTACATTTGTGGCGAGTGTGGGAAATCCTTCAGCCAGATGTACACACTGACTCAGCACGAGAAGATCCACAGGGACAGTGCTGCCAGTGCTAACCCGGGACCTCCGCTCCCTTCTCCCTCCTTTAGTACCGGAGAATACATAGTGGAAAACGGCCTCGTGACTGCAGTCAGTATGGAGACTCCTTTAGCCAAACCCCCGTCCTTATTCAACACCAGAGAGTTCACGGGCCCAAGGCCCTATGACTTTGGTCAGTACAGGAAATCTCTGAGCCAAACTTCCAGCCTCATTCAGTACTGACGTTTCGCAGCCCCATGAGAGCAGAAAGTGTGGAAGCTTTCAACCCAAAGTCCTAACGCGATTTCTCGCGACTTAAGTTCTCCGATCGGGAAGGGCTTGCGTTTGCAGGAAATGCTCACAGTAACGGCCCTGAGACTTGATGAGGAGTCATCTGCCTGACGGTGGACCTCTCACTCTCGGACCATCCAGAACGGTGACAGTGCCTGAGCTCCAGGCGTGCGCAGCACTCTTTAAAGCCGTGTCTCACAGGTTTACCTGTTTCCCAGGACTCTTCCCGGAGTCTGATCGTGGCCACTTCTATGGCAGAGATCACGTCCGCTCTCCTGTCTTGCAGGTCCTCACCACGTGACTCGGGCCACTGCTCCACCCTTGGAGAAACCATAGGTTGTCAGTGAGTTCCATCCCCTTCTCTGGCCACTAAAATGCAGACTGGATGCAACACGTTTTTGACCAAGAGGACTTGGTTTGGGTTCTGCTGGTGTAGGAGGCATTCGCCCCTGAAGACGTTTTCATGCATGGTGCGTGTGATTTTTTTTCAGCTCTGTGGGTCACCAGTTAGTAACTCTTTGTCGCTTCTTCCTCTGGTTGTGTGCAACAGTAAAGCCGTGTTCACATTACCTTCAATATTGGGATGTGAGGCATTAGTGGTTCAGTGATAAAATTCTTGCTTTCCATGCAAGAGCCCCATTCCTGACCCTGGCCAACGGCCGTCTTGTCTCAGCTGGTTGTACTGCGGTGCCTTGCACGTTGCTGTCATGCTGTGAGGTGTCAGCCTCGTTAAGGAAGGCCTCATGATCCACTTCTGAACATCGACCAGGGAAGCCTAGTCACCCATCACGCTGCTTTGTCACCAGTCATACGGGTGGCCCCTGGCTGAGCAGAGCTTTGCTCCGTTGTACGTGGAGCCAACAATTCACTTAACGCAACCCAGGAGCTTTTATTCAATTCACTCTGTGGAGTCAATTAAAAACTGGGCTATGTTCCTGTGAAAGGTGAGAAGATGTGTGGGCCCCATGGTGTGTCACTCACCAGAGACAGGCTGATGACATAGTAAGTATCACTACAGGTAACCCTTAATATACAGTGCTGGCCAAGACCTCAGAGACAAGCGTGCTGGGGACGCCTGGTCCTGCTCTGGGCCCTGGATCAGAGACAAGCGTGCTGGGGACGCCTGGTCCGGCTCTGTGCCCTGGATGTAGGAAACTTGTTGTGTTTTTGTTTTGGAGACCAGAGGTGCCCCTGAGGGGAAAACCGTTGTGACAGCTCAAGTGTTTCTGCGAACAGCCATGACTCTGCTTCTTTGTGTCCAGGAGACGTCTGTTCTCCTTGTTGGGGGAAGGCATTTCCCAAGGTTCTGCAGAGATCCCAGTATCTTGAAGTCCAGGAACTGGGAGAGGGTGGTTTTTGGTCATAGATGTAACGGTAAGAGCCAGGTCGGAACTGTAACTGCTACAGAAAACACTTGAGTGTGAATGGAAAGGAGTAATGGAGGCTGCTCGGTAAAAGAGCAGTGGGAGAGAGGAAACCCCTCAGCAGGATGGACGGACACAGTGGAGGGCACCGTCCACTCGAGCACGGCATGGTGGTGGCTTCGGTGCAGGACCCGGCAGTGGGCATGGACTCTCGGAGTCGCGGTGGCTCCAGGGCACCTAACTAACCATGGTGGAGGCCACAGCCAGCTCTGCTCACTGCACTGTGACACGGATGTCCAGTGACCACGGAGCAGGATCCCCATGGACAGACAGACAGGACCTCCAGAGCCCCGTACGTCCAGTGGCTGTGGTCCTCCCAGAGAAAACGTGGAACAGGTTGTGTGGGCGCCTGTGTCCTTGTGGGATGTTTCGCTCCGAACACGGGCGGCGAGCACTTGGATCCTTCAGGAATGGCCGTGGTCCCGGGAGCCGGCCAGCAGCCTGGTGGCTCAGCCGTCCTTCACTGCTTGCCCACATTTCCTGCCACGGATCCACATCTTACCTTCTCGAGTGGGGAAGGGGGGGGGCAGATACACGGCTGACAAGTGTGATTTTCCGAGAGAGGTGGGTGAGCCAGGTATCTTGAAACAGTCTGTAAAACCACAGTGATGAAATGATATGTAGTAAGCTATGAATATTTAAATGATGCAGTCTGGTAAGTTTTAACAGAAATACAGACCAATGACAGTGACAAAGTCATAACCATGTGCGTCCCCAACACCCTACATATGACCTTCACCATTTTTACCTCTCCCCGCGCTGCTCAACCCTTGACTGGCAATTCCATTCTCCCATGATAAATTAGAATGCGTTTTCCAGATTTCCAGCAATGCTGTCACAATGTTTATTCTTTCTCGATTTCTTGAAACAGCACGTGAATTTTGGAAGTTGTCCCTATCGTCTTCATTCCTGAGTCATGCTGTGTGTGTGGCTGTGTGTGTGGCTGTGTTGTCATTCCTTGGCACTGTTGACTCTGCTCCAGCTCAGAGGGACCCCATTTACAACGGAATGAAACACTGTTCCTGCACCTTCCTCTCCGCTGCTGCTGTGAGTCCGTGGGTGCAGCCCCTCTGTCAGTCCATCCTGGTCGCTGAGTCTCTGCCTGGTGTGATGGCCTCTCCAGGGACTTGGCCGCCCGGTGACATTTCCAAAAGACCACCAGCCTTCCTGCTAAGAAGCATCCTGGCTGCACTACTTCTAGCACCGATTTTGTTCCTTCTGACCGCCCATGGTACATTCCGTATTCTTTGCTGTTTTGTGAAAGGCATCAGTAGTTCTTGAGTCATCTTTATTTGTTTTGTTCAGCTCTTGCTTACGTGAGAGGCGATTGAAAGTACTATTGCTTTTTAAAACTCTACAGGGGTCTTTGCCCACACATTTGCCCAGTGCAGCGCATCATTTGGTTTCTTGTTTGCAACTTCTGTGGATCTTGGTTATGGGCCCAAATTAAAATTAAATCTTTGACCCTTTCCGTCTCCGTTTATTGTGGTGTTGTCTGTAGTGAAGAGTTTTGCTTCTGTGTCGATATTTGATCCGTATTGAAGGCTTTACAGTCTTTGACCTTCAGAAAGGGCTTCAGTTTTGCTCAAAACAAGGTGGTGTCAGCTGCACGTCACAGGTTGTTAAGGAGTTGTATTCTGATGCTGTATTCTTTACGTAGTCCGGTTTCTTGCATTATTTGCTCAGAATAAAGCGAATAAATGTGATGAAACATTACAACCCAGTGTATACTTTTACCGATTTTACCCCCATGGAATCCCCTTGTTCTGTTTGTATATATGACTCTTGGGTAAATGTACAGTTTTGGCATGAGCACAATTAAATCTTCTGGAATTCATATTCTTCATGTTATCTGTAATTTGTTATTCACACAGCTGAACGTCTTTGTGTAGTTAATAAAACACAGATAAACATTTCTCATATGGTCTGTTATCAGCCCAGGCGTTTGTAACAGCAGTGTTAATGCCCCTCATTCCACATCCACGTCTGAATCCACGTTGGATTTCTGGAAGTCCCAGGAAGCACTCCTTCTTCAGTCATTTCTTAATTATCATCAGCAAAAGTTTATTTGCATATGTAAAGTTACTTTTTATTTCCAAATTCTGTTGAATTACTTTCCTTGGAATGTGCACAAATACAAATCTCTTCCTCATAGTGAGGGCGTCAGGTACCTTCCAGGTTTCTTGGCATCGACAAGTGACCACTTGCAGCCTTAATTTCCTTGGTTCTAACTATTCCATTAGTATTCCCTCCATTCTTGGAACTATTTTTTTTTTACCAGTGTCTTCAGAGAACTGAAACTTTTTTTTTCTTCCAGACTCCTGAAATGGTTGATTTTGGACCAGTTCTTTGGGTTCATGGAATCAGTGTTCCTGCTGAATGTTGGTGCTTCATGTGTTGCTCACATTCGTGCCAATTGAATCCATCAGTATTGCCACTCAGGCCTCATAGTTTTTTGCTCCCCCCCACCCCCAGTGCTTTGAGCATGCAGGATGGTAAGCATATTCCTCTGTTGGTTTTCTAACTCTTAAGTCTTTGTACATTTAGTATGTAATACTTTTTCTTGAGCTTCTCTCGACGAGTTCCATTTCCCTTTTGAGTGTTTCCCGTTTTCCCGGATTCCTGTTTTCCCACGCTCGCTCTCTGTTCTGATTTCCTTGCTTGCTGTTAGGCCTGCTTTTCTGCTGGAAGGAGGAGCCTCTTCCAGGACCAGTTCCAGTGTCGTCTCTCACCAGCAGAGCTCTTCTGTTCAAGTTCTTCTCAGTCCATTTTGTCTCGTAGTACGTTGCCAGGGCCTCCTTCCTAGTCTCTGTTGGCTTCTCCAAGTCCTGACCACCACAGGTGACCCTGCTGGAGTTGAGCAGCTCCTGTCACAGTGACGTGCAGGCCACCGCGGTTCGAGAAGTGGCATAGGAGACACACCCGTGTTTATTCCATTTTCTGTTAACACGTATAGAACAGCTGCTGTGCATATAGGTCTCATTTCTGAAATAATAAACAATTTTAGAGATGGATTATTCTGTGAGCTTTGATAAATGTTGATAGTTGTAAAGGGGCTTCAGGCCTTTTGTTCACAGGGTCGCTATAAGTCGTGCTCCACTCGAAGGCATTCAACAGCAGCAACAACATCCTAACAAAATACCCCAACACTGGGTGACTTACAAGAACAAATGTCTGTCTTGGAAGCTGTTGCTATTGTGTGTGTGCTGGTTCACAGCGACCATCTAAGACAGA